CCAGGCCCAAGCCCGGCAAGCAAGCCCAGCCCTGCACTCCCCAGGCCAGTCCCCTGGCAGCTCCAGCCTCCAGCACTGCTGCTGCAAGCTCCTACCTGATGGTACACGGCACAGTTTTCACTGCCATAGTCAAAGGCTTTGAATTCTCCTGATTTTGTCACCTGAAGGGAGAGGATAGATGTGCAGTGGGAGGCCAGTGAGCGCTGCTGCATGGATCTGGCATTTGCTGGCCTCCTTGAGAGACCACATCATGAGAGGCTGCTTGCACAGGATGTTGCAGGAGGAGGTGACATCGCTGCAAAGCTGGGTTTCCACCTTTTTTAACAGGGTGGTGCTTTGACCTCCAGCTCCATGCCTGTCCCTAGCTATGGGTTGACAAACTAAGGTGTTGCACGCGACTCCTTGGCTGTCCCAGTGCAACGCTCGTGCCTCTGAAAACATGCCCGTCACCGGCAGCGCTGTGTGTGCAGGATGCTGCTGGAGGACTTCATGTTGGTGAGCTTTCCTTCAACAACCTGATTAGCCTCACCTTCTCATGACACTTTGGGCTCAGAGTACAGAGACACCAGCGAGCCCAGTTTTCTCCAGCCTCATCCTGTTTCCAGCAGGGGCCAATGCCACAGCTGCAACAGGTTGCTCAAACTGGCAGAGTTTGCCCCTGGTGTCTTCGGGACCCCTCTGTGCAGGGGTGGATGCTGTCGGATCCCCCTTCATCTCCTCACCTCTGGCTGAGCAAGCCCAGCTCCCCCAGCCTCTCCTTGCACCTCCATATCTCTACCCCCCATCACCATGGTGTCCCTGGGCTTGCTCTGCTTTGGGGACCCCTGGGGCCCCCAGACTGGTCCCAGCATCCAGCTGTAGCCTCCCCACCTCTTCCCTTGTCCTTCCAGTGTCCCCTGGTGCCCAGAGCGACCATGACAGCTCGTCCTGCACCCAGTAGCTCTTCTGTACTCCTGATTTCTTGCTTTTACTTTCTCACGAGCTGCTAATGTCCAAGGTCCCCAGCCTCTCACACCTGCCCTGGACACACGAGACTCACAGAGAAGGGATCGTCCCGGGGTGAAGCATCTGTGTTTCAAGGAACATACCTGGGCCCAGTGTATCATGTTTTTGACAGATGTTCCAACCGGAAAGTGGGACATGTAGACATCGAGCCGTGTCTGCAAAGAAACCGATTCAAGCTGTCATTGCTTTCCAATGGGCAGGAGTGAGGACAGCAGTAGCCTGATGATGCATTTCCCAAAACAGCTACTGCTGAGTCACACCAACCCTCTGGTTTGGTCAGGTTCAGGAATAAAATTTTCGTTAAAAAATCAGTCGTTCTGAGACAGCTCCAGGAGAACGGTGAGGAAGGCTGAGGTATCCCCACCTCCCATGGGTTATATCATCTGAGCTCCGGGGCTGTCCTCAAGATTTCAGTGACACACCGTTCTCCTCCAGGTGCTGCTTCAGCAGATTTGGTGAAGGGTGGGTAGGAGCACCCCAGGGGGGCTGGTGGGAGGTACAGCTGGTCTCAGCGACAGGCAACCCTAACTCAGGGATGCCACTGAGTGCCACCTGACCATGGACATTCACCCAGAAGTGCCTGGGGGCTTCTCCTATCCGGTGAGAAGCAGCCAGAGAGGGGTCTGGCAGAGGGACATGCTTGCCCGTGAGCGCGGGGGGTGAGCGTGTTTGGTGGGGAGGGGGCCAGAAGCGCTGGCAGACCCGGTGGGCGCTGCCGGGTGCTCCCGACCGGTGCACCCCAGGGCTCTGCCTGCCTCGGCCTTACACAGGGTAGTGCACCCACCATGTTGAGGTTCTTCTCATTGTAGCCACCCAGCAGAAAGAGGAGATTGGCACAGGGCTTGTGCAGCAGCGGGTGCCTGCACAGCCCGGGGAGAAACTTCCACAGCTTCCTCATTGGCAGCGAGGCGTCAGTTCTGCCAAGCAGCAGCTGCAGAAGCAAAGGGCAGGGTCGGTTTCTCGCATTTCCCTTCCTGCAGCCTAGCAATCCTCAGATTGCTTCCCCTGACCTGCTGCTGCCAGTTGTCATCGTGAGCTGGGCTGGGCAGAGGATGCCCACAGGAGTCAGATCTGCTTCTCCTTTGCCCTCCTGCCCCGCTGAGATGTGTACACCTCACTGCAGGAGGTGATGCTGGTTGAAAGCACACCAGGGAAATCAACAAGCAGGACATTCCTCTTCCCTCCCACCTCGCCCAAGCGCTGGATTTGGTTTTCACTGTGAGTAAAATCAGCACAGTAAAACTGCTCTTTCCCAGGTGGTCTGTCCAGGAATTCACAAAGTGCCCCCGTGGAAAGACCAGTTTCAACACCTGAAGATCTTACAGATGGAAGGAAGGCGTGTGCTCAGCAAAGTGACCATGCAGGGGTGCACCTGCACCTGTATCGCGTCTGTGCTTGTAAATCGGTGCTTTCAGCTGCGTTGGATATCTCTGGGGACTGCATGTGAGCGCGATCCTTTTTCTAGCACTGATGTTTTCAGGAGAGGAGAGCACAGGATTTTCCTACCTGTAACACCTTGAACTGCTTGTCCAGAAGAAAAGACATTTTCGTGATGGGACTTTTGGCGTGCTTGGTTGTCAACACTGGAGCCAAGGCAAAAAACATTTTGATTTTCTGAGCCAGCTCTGGCATGGACGAAAATGCAATGAACGCTGAGAAAACAGAAAAACAACCTGAGATTTGGTCAATCTTTCCTCAGGTGCTTAATCTGAGGGTTTGCTTGGACCCGCTGTCCAGAACTGTGAACCTGGCATTATCTCCAATTAGAAATCTGGGATCACTTAGCAACTTTCTGCTTAGCATTAGTGCTAGAAATGCCCCAAAGGAGATAATATCTTTATTCCTAAGGTTAGAAGTGGTCGAGGAGCAGCTTTAAGGACTACCAATGCTGGGAAGTCCTGATGCCGCATTCGCCAGGCGAAGGGAGAAATACTGTCATCTTCCAGCAGCCACTGCTAAAGAGTATTATCATCACAGAGGTTACCTCACATCCCTGATGGCCCGGCTAGTGAAAAGAAGCATCATGCATTTCACCGGAAAGCAGAAGCTGTGACCTCCGTGCAGGTTTTGATATGGAACACTGCAATTCAGTTTTCTAGGCTGAATTAGAGTTGCAGCAAGGAGTTTACTGAGGTGGCCAGGAGCCCTGCGAGAGCACACTGGTTCTCCCAGATGTCTTGTATGAAAAGCACGGCTGCCGTGGGACTTCTCACTGGAACAGAACCTTTTACCTAGCCTGCCTACTCGGCAGCCCACAAAGATGATACCCCTCCACTTTCTGCTTACAAACCCCAAAATGAATGTTTAGAAGGTGCTCCGGGCAAATGTGATGTGCAACCCCTTCTAACGCACCGATTGTGCATCCCTGGGAGTAGCCAACGTAATAGAGCTGCTTCTGCCCGGTCTTCTGCAGAACAAAATCGATCGTGGCTGGGAGGTCGTACATTGCCATTTCGTGAAAGCTGCAACAGAGGAGCAGTGCGTTGGTTATAAGGCAACATCAGGAGAGCAAACCTAACGGTGAATTTTGGCTGCTTGTATACTGCAGGGCTTAACACCCGTGGCTGATTTTCCAGGAGGAAATTCCTGTGGGCTAGGAGAGCCCTGTGCTGGCTGAAACTGCACAGGGTCTGAAGGCATTCCTCCTGCCACAGTCTTCTCCTTCCCTGAAAGGGCTTAGTCCTCCCATCAACTGTGGTTGGTGGTAAAGAAACTCAAGTGCAATACACAGCACTTCTGGAGACCCAGAGCTGGCTCTCGTTGGGATTACAGCACCAGCCCTGCTCCTGAAGATGCTCTTTCCCAGAAGGGAATGGGACACTGATTCCTGCCCGTGTGCATTTTAGGGTGATACGGTGGAATGCAGACCTACTTATTATTTTCTTACTGGTAGCATTCTTAGGGGCTTGGGAAACCTAGGGCTGCTCTGAAGGAGGCAGGAGCAGCTTAAAAAGCTGTTCTTGGGAACCAGTTTTCTGTGGATAACGTCTGGGAGAAGGGGAGGTGTCAGCGGCCCTCGTGGTCACCTTGCTGGGGGGGCTCTGCTGGGGAGGTCCCTGCAGATGCCCCAAGAGAGGGCTGATGTCTCTGCGGGACGGGTGTCCCGATGCAAGCCCTGCGCTCTCCATAGGGCTGGGCGGCTGCAGGGAGCTGTTGGCACCACGTCAGCAGTCAGGTCAGCACAGGCACCTCCATCCTCCCTGGGCACATCACCAGGAGGTCTGGGGGAGGCCGGGAGGTGCTCTGACTTGCCTGCCTGGAGGCACCCACCTCTGCCTAGAGGTTAATGACAGGCAGAGAGGTTTACTGTGCTTTTGTAATCCGCTCCAGCCCACCTGAAATCCCAGAATTCAACCTGGTCAGCTGAGAGGCGCTGGTGTCTCTGGGACCAGCTTGTCCCCCGGCTGTTTCCCAGCCAGACGTCGTAGCCGGAGTCTGCTAGAATGAAGCCAAGGCTGTTGTTACCCAGATTTGCCACCCAGTGGCTGCCATCACCGAGTAACCCGTGCTGGAGAAACACGACTGGCTTGGCCCCTAGATGTGAAAGAAACAGGGCATTTCATTGAACCAGAGCTCCTCATCCCAAATCCAGGCCAATAAAACCTCCTCCTTGCACTGCCAGATGACAGGGCTTTCAGACCCCAGGTGCTCATCCCCACAAGCTCAGTACCTTGGCCACTGACAACCACTGTGGGAAAGCTTGGGTGTACGGGCTTCTCCCTGAGATCATTCAAACCCCCAAAGTCACAAATTGATGGGGGGAAAAAATAAGTTAAGATATACCTGCACCCTCTGAGCCTTAAAACCGATCCTCTGCTTGATACGAAAGGCGGTGGCTGTGCTGCACGCACGCTTTCCTATGCTGGCTGCTAAAGCTTTGACTGTAAATTGCACCGTGGATTTGGTGTTTTGGATTTAACAATAAATACTTCCTTGGCCTGATAAGGCTCATCCCTTCACCTGCTTGTTACGTTAAGGTTTGGTTTGTTTGCTGACTTCCTTGTGAAATAGAGCTGTACCTCTGTTCGTAGGATTTTCTCTCCCGCGAGGAATTCTGTTCAGGCCGAGGTAATAGCCATCACGAGTCAGGACTTCGTACTCCTCACTGGGGTACCCTCTGTGGCAGATGATTTGGCTCTGGGGAGAGAAAAACCCACATGGAAAGCTTTCCGGAGCCGAGGTGCTCATGCGACTTGAAGAACACATCTCAGCAGATAAGGGATGCAAAACCAGCTGGGATGTTACTTGTCTCGGGGAGTCTCTGAATCAGCTGAGGGCTGTTTTGAAAGCTGATGCTTTGCCCAAATCCCCCCGCATGCCCTGGTGAGGTGCCCAAGGGAAGAGGAGGCGCTCAGCCACGAGCAGGTGGGAGCTGGTGGCAGCGGGGCACCCCAGCAACATGCAACAGCACACGCCTTTGAAATGTTTCCAAAACCAGAGATTGGAACCGAAAGGATCTACTGACAGCTGGCACTGGCGGCAGGACATGCCATATCACGCTCGGAGATGATGCACAAGGCAGATAGGATGGTGGGGTGCCTCAAACCTGCCATGCTGGGCTGACTGGAAGAGCGATAGGACAAGCCCCATAGGATTTGTCGCAGGGCTCCTGAGGTTCTGCTTGAGCTTTATTTATGCTGAAAGCCCCTCTGGTCGGGAGGTTTCAGTCTGGTGAAATCCATCTGCGACCCTGCCTATGCGTTGCTGCGTGCTCGCTTTGTCACATGGGTGGCAGAAGAGATGAATTTCAGTGATTTTACTGCCCATGCCTCGTGTCCATCTAAAGCCACCTTCAGAGACTTTCAGGACTTGCCTGGACATGGCCCCAAGCAACTTGCTGCCGCAGCAGGAGAGGAGCCGTGCACAGCTCTCCACCCTCCACGAAGATCACAGAATCACAGAATTGTTGAGGCTGGAAAAGACCCCTGAGATCCTCAAGTCCAGCCTATGTCTCAACAGCATCGCAACAGCTAGACCACGGCACTAAGTGCCATATCCAGCCTCAGCTAAACGACCTCAAACTTTGCGATGGAGTGGAAATTCAAAGTTCTCCTGACTTACAATATTCATGAAGCTCTCAGGGTTTATAGCCTTGTTCTGCTCAATGGCATCTTCTGAATTCACGAGTGCTTGCATCCAAACCAGGATTGCGACAAACAGCCACATCTTGTGTCTGTGTAAAATATTATCATTGTTGTCTATGTTATTGTTATTATTGTTATTGTTATTGTTATTATCGTTATTGTTGTTGTTATTGTTATTATTACTAGTATTGTTGTTATTGTTATTATTACTGTTATTGTTGTTATTGTTATTACTGTTAAGCATTGTTAAGAATATCAGTTTCACTTGGACCTGACAGGTTAAGTTCCTTCCACATCCGAAGTCCACACACCATAGTCTGGGCTGGGGAAGCGGAGGGAATTCCCAAGTCCAGCTTCCATCACAGTACACACAGAACTCTTCTTACTCCCATGTACAGACCCATTTTTGTATTTTTAACGGTAAAAAGAAGAGAAATAGCTTTATAATGCAAGGTAATGGGAACTAACTGTCGGTCTCCAGGGAAGCATTTGCAAATGAAGCTGGCAGTGAGAACCCAGATAACCATTCTATATAACAAACCATTCCTACCTACTTGCTTGCTGCCCTGGACTTCAGCAGAGCAGACTTTGGCCTCTTCGAGGAGCTCCTTGGTAAAGTAGCGTGAGATAAAAGCCTGGAGGGAAGAGGGGCCCAAGAGAGCTGCTCAGTATTCAAGGATCACCCCCTCCAAGCTCAGGAGTGATGCAAAGAGAACAAAGAGAAGTCTGGCAAAAATGCCAGGAGGCCTCCATGGATGAACAAGGAGCTCCTGGACAAACTCAGGAATAAAAAAGTAAGCCTACAGAGGGTGGAAGCAAGGACAGGTAGCCCGGGAGAATTACAGAGAAATTGTGTGAGCTAACTGGGATCAGGTTAGGGAAGCCAAAGCCCTGATAGAGTTATATCCAGCCAGGTGTCAAGAGCAACAAGAAAATCTACAGATTTTCTACAGGAAAACTAGAGAAAATGTGGACCCTCTCTGGAGGGAAACACAAGACCTGGTTATCCAGGATCTGGTGAAGGCTGAGGTATGCGGTGACCGCCCAGGTCACAGAGGGCAAAGGCAGGGGCTGGGAGAAGGAAGAACCTCCCACTATAGGAGAAGATCAGGTGTGAGACCTGATCTAAGGAGCCTGAAGGTGCGCGTGGGACATGATGAGATACATCTGCGGGTCCTGAGGGAACTGACAGATGAGGTTGCTAAGCCACCATCCATCAGTTAATATTAGATATGATTTCTTGTGCTTTGTCGGAATCTTAAAGGTTAGAGCTTAACTTCAGCCTAGTAGAATGAGTTGCAAATCTTCTCAGCAGGCATCTGGCTACTCTCCACCTCCCATCTTCCTCCTTCCAGTGGTCTCCCACACCATGAGAAATATCTGAAATACTCCCAGTAACCCTCTCTATGGTATTACCGAGAAATATCTGAAATACTCCCAGTAACCCTCTCTATGGTATTACCGAGAAAAAAAGCAATCAATGCTTTTTCACCCTCAGGATAGCTCCAAAGCAAACCAGAATTGTGCGGAGGAAAATACGTTACCACACAGAGTCCGCTCTCGCATCTGATCAGGCTGGTGGTGTGAAGGGTGGTGGCTCGATCACCACTGGTGTTAAAAAGAGCATGTTGTGTCAGAGCCCTGCTGGGTTGGTACCACGCTGGATCACATCATGTGTTCTCCAATTAAGTGATGTGCGTGCTGATCATATCTCTGATAACTTCCTCTGCTTCGCCATGTGCTCATGACTTTCATGCTTGCAAAGGATTACATTTCCAATAGCAGCCGGTGTGGTGCGGGGAGGAGTTTCAACTATGGAGTTGTATCTTCAGCTTGGGAGAACTAGAGTAAAAAAAATGTTGGAAGTTTGGGGTTTGTTTCCTTTTGAAAAGGGTCATTTCCTAATTCCCAGGGCCCCTTGGGAATGCCTCCTGGAGGAACTTCTGGGGCAGTAGAAGTTGCTCAGGAGCATGCCGAGGTCTCCATAGACACACTGAGGACGGGTCAGGCTTCACTGGCTGCCTGGGTGGGAGGCACTTGGTGATTATACACCCTTCAGAAGAGACAGTGGCCCCACACAGCCCCAAAGGCCAAGGGATATTGTATTTGGAACCAGCAATTTGCAAAACCTCTGCAACGTTTTCTGGAAAAGCACCAAGCTTAGCGTCTTGCTGACGGATAGCACGGAGGAGGACAGCTGGTGCAACACCTCTCTTTGGCTAAAACCACAGGGTAAAGGTGTTTGTTCTCCACCTCCAGCCCATGATCTTACATCCTACATCTTTCTGTAGCTGCTTGGTAACCACCTGAAAGATCGAGCCTTGGGCCATCTCCCAAGTGCTCTGCTTGAATATACGCTTCCCGGTCATGGATTAGGCTGACTTCTGATGTCAAGCCGTAGTCCCTGAGTGGCATCTGAGTTGTGAAACAGCCCCCGTGTTACTCCACCCACCAGACTGTAATTTTCCCTCTGCATCTGAGAAAGCTGACACAAAGGGACGGGGTGTGTGGGTGCTGTCTTCCTGACAGCAGGCGTGGCCAGAGCCTTTACCGTGTCGTTGCCTTGCTTCTGTCCCTGTATCTGCTTTTGAAAACGTCTTCCCACTCCCGTGAGTGCAAAAATCCCACTACGTAAGATGAACTTTACAGGTTGCATAGAGGGCAATTCCAGTCTGCATCCCAGGAGGAGTTAAAAAACATCTTGGGTCTGTGTAAAATACTATAATTGTGAAGTGTTGTTTTGAATGTCTGCTTTTATTGGGTCCTGATGGGTTAAGCTCCTTACACATGTGAAGACCAGGTATCATGCTCTGGGCTGAACAGCATTTCTGCTGTTGTCTTTCATTTTTTTGTCTGAGGCATCATAGGACTGCAACCCATCGAGTCGTTGGGGTGACAGGAAAGGAGACAGCCCACGAAACGTGCCGCATCCCCCCCGCTGTCCTTCTGTTAACAGGTTCAGGTGCTCTGCTGATGAGCAATCTCCTCTGCGGCACAGCACGGTGCAAGCAACGCATTCCTCAGCCCTATCAGTTTGATTGGTGTTAATCATGTCCTTGGCTATCAATGCATACCATTCCTCTAACCCCAGCTCTGGTGTTTCTCCTGGTGCTTTCACGCAATACAAGCCACCAGACCGCATGCTTGGGATGCTCGTTGTTACCTTCCATCTCTTGCCTCTTGCTAAGCACAAGGGTAAGCCAGTCACAAGCAGGGAGATGCTTAACTAGCTGCCCTCCAGGCTTGGCATCCTGAACTGGGAAAAAGAGTATCATTCTGATTTTAGCAATAACGCCAGCTCTTGCGCAATTCCTGCCAGATAAGCGCGATTCCCTTGCAGTAACCTCGGAGAATCTTGCTCAAGTAAAGGACCTGATAAGGAAAGCAGTGCTTATCTGGTTGTACCCCTCCCAGTTTAAAGTCTCCCAGCTAGGCTGGGCCATCTCTGGCGTCTTCTGATTGCATGTTTAGTAGGGGTTCTACCCTTGCTAGAGTTGCATGGCAAAGCTTGATCAAACAGCAAATTCTTTTCACAGAGGCTTCTTAGAAGAGTTCAAAGTGGTGAAACTGAATCAACAGAAGTATAAATGTTCCTAAATGTTAATCGTGAAAAAAACTGAGAGATGGTCACCAGTGGTTTGTCTCAGCTAATTCTTCCCCCGTTTCTCTGTTCAGAAGACCCCAGAACAACCCTGAACTTCTTGTAATTCTCTGAATTAACTTCATTTTATAATTGGCTTTAAAAAATATTTTAAAAGAGAAATATTATGGTTTGTTCATGAATAAAACTGGGCCAACTTCAGCAAACTTTCTCACTAAAGAAGTATTAGTATTTTTCAAATTTGGTATCATAACGTATTGGAGAAAAGCTGATTGGGCTCAGTTTAGCCAATGCCTTGGGCAGGGCAATCAGAGAACTTCAGGGAGCAGTAACATGTCCCACATGACGTTCCAGGGTCAGGAAGAGACTAACACAAGCTTGTGAAGAGTGTTGGAGATGGTTATATCTGATCATGATTTTGGATAACTGCAACTTTCCATGGCCCTATGCCATTCCCATCTGCATAAAGAACCAAGATATGAAAACACAAGTCTCGAAGACCAGGCACTGGGTCTCTCTTCCAAGCATTCATCTAGCAATTTCAAAAGAAAAATTGGAAAAAAAATAGGAAATAACACAGAAATTGCTCATTGTTCCTAAAATAAGAAAGCGATGTGTTCCTCAGCTGAATAAAACTCTGACTCTATTCATCAATGTTGGTGACTGCTGGAAACTGTCATCAGGCTTGATGTTATGGTTTAAAAAAAAAAAGAAAAAAAAGAAAAGGCAGCACACAGTCTAACATAACTCAATTCTGGATTAATCCTGATACAAATCATCTTCTAAATAACAGCATAGGCCAGCACATTGCTTAAAGCAGACACCAAAGCAGTCCCAGGATTACTCACAAAAGTGCAGCTTCACTTTAAGCATGTGTCTGCGCATAATTCTCCAGCTGTAGTAGACGTGCTCACCACCTCTCCAGCGTGGACACAGCCTGGAGCTGACCTGGAGCTCCTCGGTTCAAGGAGCTGATCAGATGCTCCACAGGTGACGTGTGTGCTGCCTTTCTTGCCTTGACTGTGATGACAGAAAATTATAGGCCAGCAAACGTGGTGCAACTCCTGTATTTTGAACAGGATGTGACCCAGTTTTCAGTCCTTCTAACCCTGTGTGCCATACACAGGCAGATCAAGAATGGCTTTGCGTGAGCACATCTGGAAGAACACTAAGTAGGTGGCTGAATGACCAACATCCTCCACACGGGTAAGCACGAGACTGAGATTGGTTTGCTCAGATGCAAAAAAATTAATCCCCTTTTATGGATTAATTTGCTGAGGTAGTGAAGTCCTCGTGCTGTGTTTTGAAGTCTGAGCGTGAGCGATCGGGTTGATTTGAACCCCAATAACGTGGGCTGGTGTCCCAGCCTGACGCTGGCCCCATGCCATCACCACGGACCTGCCTGATGACTTTTGACTTGCCTGACAGACTTGAGACATGCACGATCTCCAGTTCTGGCAAGATCAACACAGGTCGCCATG